TCCATTGGCAGCCGGTGACCGGAGTTCGGTTCATACGCCTTTTTGAATGGGGCCAGACATCCAGGACATCCAACAAGCCCTTTGTCCATACGTCTGCCGGTGAGCTTCATACGCCAGTCGTTGGAGGTTTGGAATCAGGGTTTAGCCATCTCCCCTAGACTGTCATCCAATGGACAGTCAACCCGGTGAAGAGCGCCGGGCATCCGCTTTCGCCCTCTCACTTTGGCGAAAAACACCTCCGCCACGTGAAGGCAGTGAGTAGGACTTCCTCAGGAGAGGCTATGTAAGACGCCCGGTCATATGGGAGCATTTCAAGAGGTGTGCGGAGGGGTGGCCAACCCGCAGCGCAAAGCACCCACCCCCGACCATCCTGAGGCTTTGGAGGCGATTCCATACACCAAGGTACACCACAAACAAACTACAAAGTCGTCTACAGAATACGAAACAGTCTTCCTAAAATTATACGAATCAGACTTCTTCAAACTACAGAAGCAATGGCAATTCACTTGCTAAGTCCTGAACTCGGCATACAGAATGAGTTCGTTCAATCACTACACTTGCAATGGAAGTCATCTACCTTAATACCCGAAAGGTAAATTCTACTTTTGTCTGTCTCTTCATCAGTATTATTTTGTCTTTTCAACTGTAATATTTTACATTCTCAATATTCCTGTTCTCTAGCTCCACCCGATTTAATTTCTACACCTCATTACCACTATTACTGACTTGACCAACGCTCAATTTCTAGTCAATTATATTACGTCATCTAACTTACTAAATCAATCTTACTTTAGTTGCTGTCTAACTAATCTTGTTTCTATATTATATCTATATCATTCTTGTATTACCTGATTAATTATCTAATCTTGACAAAGCTCATGTACACACACACAAAAATAATTATATATAAATGCGATAGTACAGCTTTGTGAATGGATTCGCCGAAAAGAGTTTCTTCGCTGAACGTATTCTCTTTTTCATATATATATATATATATATATATATATATATATATATATATCAGTCAAAAGATGAGTTGGTTAAAGCACTAAACATTTTGAAGTAAATATGGACTATTTTCCAGTAACCTGAGTAATAATTTTTATCTGTCTAAATCAGAAGTTGGAACATCATCTTGATATATGTGAAATATACAGAAGCAATGGAGACGAGTCTTCTGCTAACATAGAACACCTGCTCTTAAAACATTCACATTCTGGTAGGACTAAGAAGAAAAGGAAATTGAATAAACCTTTGGGGCCAATAGAAGTAAGATGACAGAAGCTGATTTTGAATATACCTTTGTGAATTGATCCTTATTTTTTAAATTATAAACTGATGATGTTATCAACAATCACTATTTTTAAATAAATTTCTGAGAGTCCACTTTACAAAAAAACTATGATTTTGTATATCAAGTGGTCAGAAATTCAGTCTCCTTTTACAGCTTTAGTAAAACTTGAAAGTGGCAATGAATAACTCGAATTTATTAACAGAAAATCTTTGAAGGTGTATCACAAGTTACGAATCAATCGGCAATAATACTTACTATAGGCTTCTTGTATTCTGACTTTCATCAACGAGAGGAAACTCATGTTTCCTTCCTGACTGTAACCTGACTGAAATAATAATCTCAAATATATTTAATATTAAGTAACAATTTTATGTTATCTAACTCAGAAAATGCAGAACACTAGATTGACAAGCTGTTATCAATAAATCACTCACTTTGCATACTTATGTTCTGCAGAAGAATAGAAAGGTATTATCAATGTAAAATGTAGTATCACTACAGAATAGTTCATTTTATTGCTGTGCGTCGGTGGCACAGCGGTTGGGACTCTCGCCAACTATGCACATGGGCCAGGGTTCGATCGCCGGCCGACACACACCTGATATCAATGGTCGACCTGCTAAATTTGGGCTACCGATATCACATGCTGAAAATTCTATACTTGTACCAAAAATACTCTGTAGTTTCAAGCTGTAATCGAAATAAAACCTAAAAGTACAGAAAAAAAGGAAGATATCACCTCAAAGTCATGTAAATCTAAGTTAGTTTAATGTTATTATTTAATGTGAGAAAAACTAAGTGCATCTAATCAAATGGTAGTAAGTCTAGAACGAAGATACAATATGAATGTACTTACCAATCTGTGATCAATTCTGAGTCAAATTACCAATTGTCTTCAAAACAAAGATTTAAGGCGTCGTGAATTCCCCGTTGATGACCTAAGGGACTGATGACCAATCTTAGTCTCATCATATGTCGCTCCCCCTAACTTGGTCATACTTAAGAGTACATTGGACGTGCAAATAAACCGAGGGGACCAGTGCATACACATGTCCCAGTCACTTCAGGAGGTGGGATGATGGTAAACTTTAGCAACCCGTATACCAAAGAATAAAGTCAGAGAAACTAGAAGTGGAAGATGAAAGCTAGTGCTGCTCAAATCATTCTAGGTAGCTATTTTCACAATTTAACAACAATGTGACAGTAGAGAGTGGTCGTTTGTAGTAGTGGTCACTCACAGTAAGACCTGTATTCACACATATACTAACGAAATAAGCTGGAAGTTATACGACATGTTCTATATCCCTAAATGTAATGATAAAGAGTATGTTTACTGAAAGATTATGACAAAAATGTATTTGTTAGCAAGTGTAACTATGCTCTCTAAAATCCTTCAGATAAAACCGATGAGGCCTCCGGGAACAATGCCAAACAGATACAATTCTATATCTAGAGTGGGTTTTGGCACTCAGGGTATCTACAGAAACAACAATACAACAAAAACTGAAAGTCTAGATAAGAACCAGTCTGCGGATCAAAACCAAAAGACGAATGAAAATAGGTAAGTATATAAAAACAAACTGTCCTTTTCCATACACTAATTATAAAGTCTGCTACTTCACCTATGAGGCTATAATTTTTGTTTATTTCATTCAATGGAGGTAAAATACCTTATCTGCGCTCCCAAACTGTATAGTTCTCTATTTGTAAATGTAAAGGAAACACGTTTGCAGGCTCGACTTATACTAAAAATGATGTACGTCAGAACTCATTTCCCTAGAAGAGAATTATTATGTATCAGAATATGAGCCACATTTTATTATGACAAGCTATTACTGCCAAGCTGAAGTAGACAGGGGAGGTCCGAACCCAGGGACTAAAAGCTGTAGGTCAAATACTTAAACCAGTGAACTACACTTCCACCAATATGAAGCTAAAACTGCTCAAAACAAATACGCGATATCTGTCATTAAAAGATAATTTTCAAATGTTGGGGTTTGTGAGGATTTTACCACAGTGAAAACTAAACAACAGTCTCGTAACCCATGGCATCCAGATTACTAGGTGACAGGTTACTATTTAGCAACTTGGTTGGAACTCTGGAACTCAATGATCCGTGAATTCTAAGAAACTAAATAACTATAAAAAGCGGGTCTGAAAGTTGTGTGATAACTTTTAGATTACGAGCAACAAATAGTGTACGGAAACCATCCAATAAAGAACACTATATCACTGAGCTTTATCACACAAACAAACTAATATGGAATCAAATGTAAAGCTTATATTCTTAAGTACACGATTGATTAATACTTGTATGTAGAAAGCTTAAAATTATAAGTTTAATACACACTACTTCACAGTTAAGACAAACCTCAACTGAGATCCTCTTTAATAATGCGTGCAAGAATACTTGGGTTACACAATCTAGTGACTTAAGTATAACAAAAATGAAATTATAACTTGACCATCAGGAAGCATTCACAAAATAACGAACCACTATGCAGCATTGCTACTGTTTAATCAACCAAAGGACTTTTTGAGCGTATATGCATTAAGTTCCTGTTGTACACGAATGTGACTACTGAGTTATAATAAAAGCTAATAAATGGGATCTAGAAAAGTGACTGTCGGTTTCCAATTGCAGAGTTTTTACCATTATATAAGTCATCACATGGAAGTAGCCTACAGCTGCTCGATATCACACATGTGAGACTAGTAACTTCATACAACGGTAACTTGCCTACCTTCAAAATTCCTCCACTGTGGTTCCACATTACATTCAAAATAGGTTATTTAGGTGAATAAAGTTTCAGTAAAAAATGCACCCACTTCGATGAATGAAAAGAAACTGACTAATCTTTTTCATTTGGAAAGCCAACTGAAGCCAATTTAATTCACTTTTAGATATTCTCCATCTAATTGCTTTAGTCTAGCAAAGTAAAATAATTTATAGGTTAGCTGCCTTAAAGTGGTTGAAAATTGCCCAGAGCACCATACTGAATGACAACTGCTCAACCATTTATTTTAACTCACTTCGGAAGTACCGTTCATTATTGCAAGAATTTATCCGAAATCGGATTTGTTTAATAATATAAGCATTATTTTTAATAGTATTCATTAAAAGTAACCCCAGAAATCATTATTCTTATAGACTGGTTAAACTTCCATCACTTTGGCCAGGAAAGAAAAATGCTCTAGTGAAACGAATGAATCAAACTGAAGATAGAAACGTACATTGTCCAGAAATAAAAAACCTGTTACTGGAAAATATCATTTCAATAAGAGTAGTTACCCCTTATACAACAAGTTATAAACAAAAACAACAACAGCAACAACCAGAATTATCCATTTTACGCATTAGGAAACAAAAGGTGGAGAAATCAAACGATAAACAAGAAATTGATGATTCAAAAGCCAGTAGTTCTAGTGACGAGATATCTCTTGCATCATTTAATTCAGAATTTCAAAAGTTGAATTTGCGAGACAATGTTTTTGATACTACTTATGACACTAGTAAGATGAGTAGTGATTACGACAATGGTGTAAGTCAATGTGAAATTACAACCGACCAAGATGGCGGTGATGATGATGATGATGAAAAAGAAGCATAACCAATTAAAATAATGAAAAAGAAACGTTTCTTTCTGTTGTTCTATGCATGATATATATTTATTACTCAACAATAAATAGCACCGTTACATAATGTTCAGTAGAATACACAACGTGTTCTATGCATTGGAATTGCGGCCTCAACTTCATCAGAATGTGAACGTCGATAATTCCATAAGAAATTATCGATTAAAATTGAATTACAATCAATATTTTTGCTTTTCAAAGATTTTACAATATTCTAAAAAGTAAAGGAGACAAGAAACAAATTATTTAAAAAAAACGAAATTGGATTATGCTGATTTCACTTCCGTGGTTATTCAGAATTCGTATGCATTCTGAACAGAAGAGTGAACAAAAACTCGAAACAATAATTTTAATGTGTAAAGACCATACACAAACACATATTTTAATAAAGTATGTTCAATGGATATGAATTATTTCTATCAGTAAATAATAAATAGATCTTAGTCTTTTCTATGTGTTTATACACAACACACTTTCCCCTCAGTTGTTTCTTTTCTATTGTTTGAAATATTAATGAAAATAACGTGCACCAGAATTTATACATAAACTTTTCTTATTTCATTGCGAAATGACTGACACATGAAACTAACAAGTGATTGAATATGCTATGACGACTTATTATTTTTTTTTGGTACAATTTGGCACCAAGAATATGCGCCACACAATAATAAAACATATGAGATAAAAAGTAAAAAATATAGCTAGAGAACAGATAAAGAACTTCATCTGGAAGGAAAAGTCATATTTAATAAGTTCCAACAGCATTCGTCAATTATCGTCGGGAGAGAAAGAAAGAAAGAAATTACAGCACGTTCGCCATTGACTACGATTCTTGGCCATATCCGATAACGTTTCGAGCCACCGATTCGAGCTGTCTCTTGGACACTAACCAGGGAATCGTGATGCAACAGCCGATACTAACCTAACACAAATACTCTCCATCCCACGGTGACACGTCATGGACTGACCACCTCACAACTTTTTCCATCCCGTTCCAGGCCTAGTGGACAGAGACCTGTACAGAAACCTCTGGGATCACATTCACATCACATGTCCAAGCCACCGAAGCCGGTGTTTCCAGATGATGACACTCAACGAATGGTGGTCTCCACTGCACCCAAACACACGCCGCCGGACCTTAGAATTAGTCACACGATGATGCCATCGAACGCAAGCAATTCTGTGGAGACGACGGTGATCGAATACGTAGAGTCGCTGCACATCCTCAGCTGGGAGAAGCCAGGTTTCACAGGCGTAGAGCAAGACAGTACGCAACGAAGCATTCTATACCCGAACTTTGACAGCCAGGCTAACGTCGTGAGGTGTTTCAAGTTAACGTATGCCACCCCAGCTTTCATGATATGGTCGGAAATCTCATCCGTTACCCCCCCCCCGCCAGCACTCACACAACTACCCAGATACGCATACTTATCAATAACTTCAAGCGGTTTACCTACAAGAGTGAGTGCACGGATAGGCTGGGAATGCAGATAAAGGAGAAAGGCTGATGAAAGTGAAGACGCCAAGGTTAACAGAAGTAAAACACAGGAGTCTATGTAAAGAAATTAAAGTAAGGTTGAAGGGAGATGCGTCACTTGAAACATCATTATTGTTCGAGAGCATTGTTGGGAGCGTGCAATTAGTTCCACTGACAGTTTGCTGTTTCATTTCGTTGATTGTGTGAGGACTGAGATACTGCCCGGGCACCCAGACCGAAGCAGGTCGTAGTCTTAAGAGACCACTCCCCAAAGCAGCGGAGCAGCGTCAGGAGCTACGTTTCCATGGTTGCCGGTGACCAATACAGGTTCATACGCCATTTGATCCGATTGGATTCTGGAGCCCATGTACCCCATAGTAACTGCTTTTAGTCTAACCGCTATCCAAACAACCTTCCTGACATGACAGGACCTGCAGGAACATGAGTCCCACCCAGTTTAGCTTGTTGGGTCACTGCGGTATCCAACCCTGACCATCACGACAAGATAGCAGTTATCGGACGACTAATTACGTTTGTGAGAGATCATTTTACGTATTACAAACATTCTGAATCTCACAAACGCATGAACTTGAAATTTGGTCTAGCTATAGACCACAATCCAATCAAAATGTTTCTATAATTAATTTAAGAGTTACAAGCTCTATGGATAGCATCGATAATTCTTATCCAGTTAAAGATATCGTTTGTATTAGGGCAAATAATGTGAAATCACAATCATTAACAACTGATAAATATATATTTAGTTACCTCCCACTATCATTTATAATTTACACACAAATGTAATATAATACCACCATACCGTAAGAAAGACAGCATAGTAACCATAAGTCATAGTGGCTAAGTAGTAGCAGTAGTAGTACTTTTCAATGCCACTTCAGTAAGTAGCTTACCTTAACCATTGAACCAATGGTAATCAATGTTTCATTATTTAGCTAACATTGAGATAAGTGTATTTCACTAGCAAATTTCATTAGGACGACAGCATAAAATGTCAATTTAATGACTGATTTAGCTATTTGCTTCAAAAAAAAGATTATTCAGAAAAAGATACACAACATTTACTCAACGATGAATATCACAGGTTTGCTTACATGAACAGCTAAAATTGTTGCAGCTCGGATTTCCACCTCGAACTCGCTTCCGTTGTCAATTTCTTCACCTGATGTTTTGTAAGTTGGGAAATAAATAAATCATTTCGAGGTTAAGATCGTTAGAAGATTAACAATGAAGCAAGTCACTCAACAGATTCAGGTCAAGTTTCAATCAGAATTTAGAGGATAATATTTAGGTTAAAAGCAAACCTTATCATAGACTGCCATCAACTTTAAAACAGTTGACAACTTCCAAATATACCTGGGCCGAATCTACTAAATCTGATATTGTGCATTATTTTCTCGTAAGTTAAGTATGCAAAGCATAGGATGTACAACAGTTTTCTATCTATTACGAATAAAGGCTTAGAAACGAGATTTTTGCGACGTCATAAGTATCTTTAAATGACACATTGAAATTCATTGTGGACACCAACACGCCACGCGTGATATTTCTTTTGTGTCGCAATATTGTACCAAGTTTGTATTTTAATCATAATAAATACATTTCTAGATGTCTTATTTAATTTACAGTGGGAATCATGCACTATGGTTAAAACATTTTCCATGTCGGCTAATTTCTTAACATACAGAAACACAGTCATCATTTACAGATATTTTAAGGTTTCATTGCTTCTCTAAACATTATCACTGGGTTGTTATCAAAATTGAAATTTTTATTACGACAGCATTCAAGTCAAACAATTATAAATGCTTCTAATATCCATGGGATGTAGCCCACCCGCCACCGTAAAATCCCGATAAATCGACCAGCTTTTATTTGGTTAGCCTGATTTTAAAAGTAAAACGCCCTACAACTCATTGTGACTTAATTATAAAATCTACTGATCATGATGTTTTGGCTTATTGGATTAGTCACTCAGCTCTTAAACAGTGGATCATAGGTTCAAAGACTGCTACATCTACCGAGATTTCGACTAGGTAAAGCCATCCGCTTATTACTCAGTGCAAAGTGGTTGTTGCATAACGCTTTCACTCATGGACAAGGGAACATTGTGACATATGAATATACAAAGGATGCACACTTCATAATATAAACACGCAACTATATTATAGAAAAATTACCGTTACGTATCTTCGTGATTAGGTCTTCACTATACTGTATTACCCCAAAATAATTTAACACCTGTGGAACTCTACGTGTGGTTATGCGTTTAGGCAGAAAATTGGTACCTGTAATCAGCAAAAGCGGTGATATCATCTGCATCATGGAAATATCCTGGTCCCTTCCCCTCAAAGCACTGCCACAAGTCACCGACCAAAATCTGGGCACGTTTCATAAAAGAGACTGGAAGTCATTAATATAGGCAAGAGATACCATTTTTTCCTTTGTAAACTGTATAATCTCGGAAATTAGGGAAATAATCACACAGTAATGTTAGCAACTTTGAAGCCGATTTGTCACACTCGATTAGGACATTCTTGAATGCACCACTGAAATTCTCCAGCAAAGTTTTTCCCGCATTTTGTAAAGCAACCAATCTTTCATGAAACAAAGGGATTGATTCAGTGGTACATGACCTAAATATATGTTTTAATTGTTCATCCGATATATTTTGATAAACGGTTGGGTTAAGAATGTCTATTCCCTCCTAAAATATATAGAAGTGTTTGATCAAACAAATGAATTACATCCATAGCTCGATTAACAGCTGCACATAGGGCCCAGTAACCCGTGTACACTTTACCCTTATATAAAACCTCAAATTGGGCATCAGTGTTACTCCAGAATGAGAAGTTGAGCAAACTTGTTACGAATATCCTGGGTTGTCAAAAAGATATGCGCATTAAACATTACCATTCAATAGCTTGATCATCTGCAGTATTAGGTGTTAATTCATGCTTGAGCCAATTCTCTGGAGTCAGTGGGCAATCACGACATCTTTCCACTAACTTAATCGCTTATCACGTTACTATTTCAACCTACCAGGTTCACCACTCTTTGAATACCATCGCTGTTGATAGTCACATGTTTGGAATTTTGCATAATAAACATGGATGAAGGGAGAGGAGGTAAATGGTCTATGTATCCCATGTTTTTGACTAAAACTAATAAAAGAGAACAAAAATTACTTACCATCCGGAAAACTACATGACATGATATACTGAAATATCACTGATGGGCATTAGAGCACAAAAAATATCTTGTACTGAGCACAAGAAATATAATTACAATTTCCCTAAGCGGAAGTGTGAAAGACAAAGTGAGAAGGCATCACTTAGTGTGTAGGGCAGTTGGTCAGTTGAAGACATGCAATGCTGGTATGAACATGAATCCATTGTTCTTATTGCCACTGTATTTTGTAGTTGTTTCTCACCACATTATACACAAACAAGCTTACGGAACTTTTATGCTTTACGCTTACCCATCAACACCACGGACTTGAGTGGTTGACGATATTAATTACTCCTGTCTTCCCTACTAGATTAAGAGGTGCTCGGGAAAAACAAACCCGAGTAAGCCAGGCAAGTTTCAGGCCAGGAAGAGGGTGTATTGACTGCATCTTCACCCTTCGACAGATACTGGGACATTTGATTACTTATCACCGTCCAACGATTACTATATTTCTTGCCCTGAAGACGGAATTCAACTCCGGCGACTGGGAAGTACTATGGCAATTTTGGCTGTGAAGAGAGTGCCAATAAAGTACATCACGCTAATTAATAGACTCCAGTCGAACTCACACAGCCAGATAAGAGATTGTGGAGGCGGTGAAATTTCTATTAAGAAGCTGGTAGCGCGGGCCAGCAAACTTTCTCCTTGCTTGAGTCAAAAGTAATGGTTATACAATTAGGAGGTGAAGAAACCACTTCAGGAGAACAAATTGAAATGGGAGGGTTATACACAGGAAAATTCCATAGGTTTACTAGTGCGCAAGAGGATGCTACTTTGTTCACATAACTTCGAAAGTTCCTCCTTAAAGTGCAAAAACGAAACGGTAAAATCATCCTTATAAAGTTACTGTGGGTCACAAGAAAGCTACTAGAGGTCAGTAACACATGTTGTTAATACATAATACCCCTTTTGAAAGTGAAGTGATAGACCCCACCGTTGAGGAATACATACGGATGTAAAGATTGGTGGGTGGTTAACCTATTTTCAACTACCACTTATGCCGCAAGCACTGATACTACATCGGCGAATTTGAACTTGAGGTACCAAATTAAGGTAACTGAAAAGTGCCTTGAACGCACCAGTCGCTTAAAAAAAAGTGGTTTCCACGTATAAAAGATATACATATATATAGCTATGAGGAAACGATGGGTAAAATGAAAAAACTATTAAACAGGATAACTTCCTCTCACGTATGATGAAAATTTCTCAGCTGGTGTCAATAAATAGGCATACCATATTTTACATATGGGTTCACCAAGGTCTTCTAAACCCTAATCTTTTCTTAACTAAATCCTATAGCAAAACTAACTCTGGCTCGAACCAAATCCAATATCTTCCCCAATGGGCTAGCCTAACTTGAACCTGTCCTTCAATCCTTCCAAAAACAAAGCTAAAACTTACCTACCGCCCACTGAATACCATAACACTTCAAGCATATTTTATTCATGATACTAATTTAGTTTGACTGGTTTTTGTTACTTGCTGACTGAGCGTTTCATAGGTCGATGGTACGATTGCATTTCCCTAGTAACTTTCGGTTTTTTGAAGTTTAACCTCGATACGTTTTTGCAATGTGAGGTGCGATAAGAACATCCGTGACTTCTGAGTAATTATGTTATCTTTCATTAAAAAAACAGCTAAGATTTATTCCAGTTGTACGAAAACGGGCAAAGAATGGTTAAATAAAAGTTATAATGGGAAGATTTTAAGTAAGTACTGGTTAGATAATGAGTAATTAACCATGATCGAGCAAATGGTACGAAGGATAGAATGATAGTTAAATAATAACCTCAATGGTGCCGTAGTCTTGATCAAACAGTGGTGAAAACTCTGTCATGCAGCCAAAATTCTATAATTTTCTAAATGTAAGCTTATGTGGCTTATGCATTGTCCATAATTCATCAAATTTTTACCATTTTCATCCAACTGGGATTTCTAAAACTTCGTAGAGATCAGCCCTCATAGGTAAAAGTGTTTGCATCAAGCCGAAAGGCTTTCTCTAACTGTGCCAAAGTCTTTAATAAAAATGTGTGAGATAAGCAAACGAACATGACCAACCACTGACCTTCAGAATCGAATCAAATTGCGCTCTTAATGACATTTATTCTATTCGCGAGCTGCTGTGCAATTCAATCTTGAAGATTTTGGATTCAGAATAAAGTTCAGAACTAGGTTGTATGAAAAGAAAAAACGCTTTGTCGGTCTTATAAATATTTGAAAGTGATGGCATAGAAGTGAATAAGATGGATTTGTGCCGCCGAGGCTTCACATTCCACTTGGAACTCAATGAACAAATGTATCATTATTACTCTAGGCTTTAACATTTTATCTCCAATTTATCTGGTTCAATGTAATTATATCCAGCTGGCCTCGCTACTTCCAATATGCATTCATATGTTCTCCACACGATCTCCTCCATGTGACCATCGGATGCCCAACTTCTTGTTTCCTATTCAGGTCTAGAAAATGATGTCACTAAATGACTTTTTCCAGAGTTTTTCTTATCCACTTCCATTTTCTTCACAGCATTTTCGGTAATAATCTACCCGAAGCAAAATTTAACCATGGTTTGTGAGCTACCAGAGAAATAAACTACACAACAATCACTAGGCAACGGTGAATAATTTTGACTACCATGATTCAAATATTAAGCCAAAAATTTAGATACATTACGTGTATGACTTATTAATGACAATGAGACGAAAACATTCACAGCCTAAACAACAGCATCTCCATCTGAGAAGGAGGTATCCGGGAACAAAATCCTATTTTTAGACGTTTTAGTCAAACTTAGAACTACAAGAAAGTCACAGATTCGAGTACATAAAAAGTTAAACCACAAAGATAGAGTATTTTAGGTTAAACAGTAGCAGCCCGACAACATTATTTGGAAGAGCCTGGATTCACTGTAGAAATGCCTTATTATTGCCTTCAAGAAAAACGGATATCTACGACATTTCATCAGAAAGTATCTCTCCGCATTTGAGCTCACGAACTCGAAAGGGACTCAATGAAACCACAAAGAAAACTGTCTAGCTGTGTATTAAGAGCACCTCTGAAATCACTGCAGCTATCAGAATTCGCTGACAAATGCAACGTGAACTGCAGTGAAGTTTGCAGTAAATGTGTGGAACATTAATTCGATCTATGTGGACGTCTTCGCATCTATGAATAAAATCTGACTATCTAGAGACATGATACCCACACCCTCATATCAATGCTTGAGCACAGCCAAGGATACCTATTCAATTGGGGGAATGTGCAAATCCTAGAGGAAAAAAGCACCCCAAATGTCAAGGAATTTCAAGGGGCCTTGCGCACAGACGAATTTGCAATCGACGGACACATCGACAATGATAAGACCAACAAACCGATAATAAGGAAATCTCATAGAGTAAAAGTCAACAAGATATTCAGTACTCATATAAGGGGACAAAAGGGGAAATACCCAGAACCAACACATTATGTTCAGGGTTACCAGAAGAGATGTATAACAAACTCCTTCAGAATTTTAAGTGATCACTTAAAAATGGAGTTTGTGCTTATGTTGTTCAAAAAACGGTGAGAGTTCCGCAACTAAATATTTGTCTGAGGGAACTCACCTATATCCGTACTGTTTGAAATGCTGGTTGTAAAAAATTTAGAAGACGTTCCTGCAGTATGTACTTTCCAGAAAAGCGTTACACAGGGGATAAAATAGTACTCTACTTCATTGGAACATACTGATAACGCATCACTCAGAGTGATTTTGAAAAGCAGTAAAGGTGATATGTACTGAAAGCTGGAGAAAAGGGAACATATACCTGGGCCAAATGGAACACTGGAGTGCAAGGGAGTATACCACTTGATGGGAAACACCCAACATCAAGAGTCACTGTGAACCCAAACAAGGATGCGACAAAAGTCCTGCTAATACAATTGTCTGTTGTTAACACATAGTCGAACATCGGAGGGAATGAGGCAGGTTATGGGCTATTTGAGGGACATTTCGTTATACACAACACTAGGTAAAAACAACAAGCAGTAATAAACAGCATCCCGGGACAGATGACTAACAACACAGGTGAGAAATACCTGCATGATGTACACCAAGAATCTTGGCTGTCCATACAGCTGTAGCATACGACGACTCGAGATAAAGCTCACCTACATGACGTCAAGAGAGAAACGTGATATCTCAAGCTTTATGCCATTAAGCACTCAAGGTTGTTCTTAATGACATCCGAATACTCCCTCAAAAATGAAGCAGAATCGGTTCTAGCGGGACTGGACGACATGAAATATTAGCAATAAGTAAGCTATTGGAAGGGCTATCAGCGATAACTGTAACTCTCCAAAATAGAGCTCACTGCATCAACAGAAACACCGGGTTTTCTCAACAACAAAATAAGGCCTAGTACAAATGCAGCTTCATGGTGAAAGTGTCAGATCATAAGGCATTTCAATACACGAAAAAACCACATCGTACTCAAGTTACGGGGGATGGAAGGACGTTTCAGGTAAACCCAGCCAGAAAATTGCAGCCGGCTACACGAACATTTTCTTCGTGAATGTAAAATGTACGGTCACGAAAAATTTTGACTTGTGTTACGGGATGTAATGAAATAAATTTGTGTCTGAGAAAAATAATGTACCGAAAGCGCGGTAAATTGGGTGGGTGGTGTCAATCTTTTTATATGAAATAAGTCTGCAGATATTTTGGGAATCTCACAGTCCATGCTAGTGATTTCCTCGAGGACTAACGGGTATTCAGTTACCTGTGTGTTATTGGGTACGCTCAGTTCGAGGCTCATGGGATTACCTTCTAAGTATGCCGGTTTCACACGATCTATGCTAACACAGTCTTTGCGACCCTTTTTGTCCGTATGCTTAATCACGTTATGTGGTCCATCGTATGATGGTTCCAGAGGACATAACGC